TCTACTATTGCCGAGTTCACAACATAAATGCCATTATCCTACAGAAAACTGTGAAAAATGCGATGCGGTTCATAGAGCAAGCATGCCGCTCCAACGAGAGAGAGGAACACAATGCCTCACTACTTTGGCCTTGTTTCATAGCAGCAGGTGAGGCTCTAGACAGAACAGTTCAAGATTTCCTTCTGCGCTGGCTGCGGGACAAGGTAGACAGGACAGCAGTTGAATCCTTTGCTGTCGCTGCTGACGTCGTCCCAAGTGTATGGAAGACCCGACAAGAGACGGGGGATTTCACCCTCAGTTGGTCGATGTTTTGGGGCACGAACGATGTCCTATTATACTGGTATAGAGTTTATTGCCTTGGCTACTTGGACCTTGTACTGTAGTCTACGTACGCTATTGTCTCTGAAGGGTGCAAAACCCCATTATGACAGACTTGCGATAGATCCGCGGGATTTCTGTACATACCGAGAGCCCAACCGCTCAACCGCTAATTTTAGCGTCCTCGATTGACTCAGCTAAATTCTGTCTTTCTTCCAAGCGCTAGAACAACATTGGCCAATACTTCATCTTTTAGAATGTTAAGTCAATGACGTGTTATTCTTGAAAAGGATGTGGAAGTCTAGGCGCCGGTGGTGAATCGATCTCTACATAGTACATGCGTCGCCAATATAGAGTGACATTAGTCGTAGTCACAGTGAAGCCTGCAGAGCATGGTCTTGATAGGTAACCTTCTGGCATGATGAAATAAACTTAGAGATTTGTTGAGGTGGGAATGCCACGCATAAGTGCTATCTTTTTGTCAGAATCCGAGCTTCCATTTTCCTCGACCATCTTTCTCAGGTCATCGCTTGTATGCATTTCGATGAGGAAGTCGTCAACACTAATTAATTGCTGCTCGTTCAAAATGAAGTGGAAAGAGCGCCCGTGTAGTCACAAATTCTTCCTTCCAGTTTCTGCGGCTTCGATTCCTAAGGGACTACGGAATTTGGCAACGGCTGTAGGTCCCACGGCCTTGGTGAGACCGTCAGCGGCGTATTCCTTGGTAGGGAAATATTGGAGTCCAATCACTCCGGAATTCGGCACGGCCCGTTAAGAATGAAATTTCACATTGAAATATTTTTTACATTTAACAAAGAATTGCGAGAGAGAGCAGTGACAGACGAAGTCTAATTGCATCATTGCGTGTCAGCGCCCACCACGGCAATGCCACAGAGTGAAGTGAGCTATGGCTAATAATCTGGGTATTATAATATGTAGTCGAACTAGCAACTATTGCAGCATGAACAGAAACTTATATCTGACATTAGTTGTACTGTCAAGTGCCGCATCTAGACAAGGGAGTGGCTTAAGAAAATGACAAATTGCCATGTTCTCAAGACCTTCACTCGCGGATTTATTTGATTGTTTACAAGTCCATAGTCTATGGGAAGGTCTTCCAGAAGGTACAGCCCTATCGATGGCCCAAGCCGGCGGATTCCTACGACGAGCTGCCGGACTATATGGACTGCATTTGATTTGTCTGGGATTTGACTCAATGTAGTTCCTCGGAAGATTGGCAGACTGTAAGCTACACACGTCGCCTTGATATGTACGGTCCCTGAAGATGACGGATATAACTCTCAGAGACTGGCAGCCAGCACAAGTCTTACCTATTCTGCAGAGCATGACATGTTGTGTTAAAGTCCGACTGCGACATAACTGGGTATGCGAAGCACACAGGCCATATGTGTTATGTGATTTTTAGTACAGCACATGAGGCTTGAATCAAGCCCTATGAGAGAAGCACCCTTGACTGTGCGTTGCATTCGATATATATAACGAGATATGAAAATATAAATTCTATTACCATTAAAAGATCTCCCCCCCAAAAATGACGTATATAGAAGCCAAATCAGTTTCCTTGCCTAGTCTCTTTACCTCAGCAGAAGCTCATAGGACAAGTATAAGAACACCTGTAAGCCTATAAGTGTCTCACTTTTACGACCTGCCAACAAACAAGGTCATCTTTCTCGACATCGGCCAAACAACAGATGCCATCAGTTCCTTCCTAAGAAAGCCAAGTATTGTCTCTCAAAAATTCGGGATCACACCATCAATTTTAGACCATGCCACTAAACTCTAGTATAAATCGATCAAATTTCCGATTATCTGAGGATGTCATTGATCCCAAGATCCTGATTCAGCATGTAAGCATAAGCATGTTCATCCTTCATTTTATTTATTCTCATTCTTTTTTTTCCCCTGCTTTTTGTTTTTCTTGCGGGGAAAAAAATCTATCGCTAATAAACCGCAGGAATTCCAAAATCTGGGTCAGTTGGCACTTCATGTCTTTGTTCCTCGAATTGAATTGTTGCGCGAAAGATGGCCGGATCACGAGCGATCCATCTTCAAGGAAACCAATATGCTTTCCCAGATGATAATGATGTCCACGCATTCCGTTTTTCAATCTTCGACTGCACCATCTCTATTGCTCTTCCAAAATTATAGGATGAATGAAGATACAGATTCGGTTGTTACTTGGCCAGAAACGTCTATATCAAATGAGCCTACTATTGCACCTGACATGTTACACAACAAGGAAATCGGATAGCACAATATTATTCAAACAAAAATTTACCCTATTGGATGGCGGTTCAGGCTCAATTTGAATTAGTAGCTCTTGGGTCATACAGAATATAGTAGAAGGTTAACCTAAGACAAATGTAATCTTATACTGTACAACAAATACAGTGGCATGTGTTATCTCCTTCCCTCCCAAACATACATAGATCTGTTCTTGAACCCTAACATGCCAAGATTCGCTAGTCCTAATAAGGTTAATACCGTATGATATTTCTGTATTAAAACTGAAGTATACAATACCAAACAATCCACGTAAGCTGTAATGTGACAAGTGTATTATTATGAAACAACAACCATCAACTTGTCATCCTAATTTAGGCACCTTCAAGACATCAACCCACCTCAAAATGGCACGACACCTTGAGTCCTGGCAGCGTACAATGATTGTTCATATGATACGTAGTGGAAAGTTTACCGCATCACAAATCGCAAAGTGTGTGAAATGTAATAGACGCTCTGTGACAACCATCCATAAGAACCTGCGGTTATTTGGCACCCCCGGATCTCCTCCAGTCCATGTTGGCCATCCTCCAAGCGTCACTTCCCCGATGATTGATGTTCTCTGTGACCACCTTTATAAACAGCCTGGACTTTATCTTGAAGAGATGGCTACTTTTCTGCACTATGAATTCGATATTCTAGTATCAACATACAGTATTCAACGTGCTCTTGTGCGAAAGGGGTGGACGAAAAAGCAAGTTCAACAGAAAGCACAAGAACAGAACCCCCAGCTGCGAGCTTTCTATCAGCATAAGCTATCCAAGTTTCATTCATATCAGCTGGTTTTTGTCGATGAGTCTGGATGTGATAAACGGGTAGGGTCTAGGCGGACTGGCTGGTCTCCGCTTGGGGTGACACCAGTCCAAGTATCTAAATTTCATCGGGGCCAGCGCTACCAGATATTGCCTGCCTATGCTCAAGATGGCATTATGCTATCTCGTATTTTTAGTGGTTCAACTGATGCCACTCTCTTTGAAGATTTCCTAGAGGAGCTCCTCCACCACTGTGGAAGGTACCCGGCTCCAAAATCTGTGCTAGTGATGGATAATGCATCTTTCCATCACACTGACCGTGTGAAGCAGTTATGCTCTGATGCAGGAGTCAAACTACTGTACTTACCACCTTACTCACCAGATTTCAACCCCATTGAGGAATTTTTCGCCGAGCTGAAAGCTTATATTAAGCAGAATTGGCGAGCATATGAGGAGGATCCTGATCAAGGCTTTCGTCACTTCCTTCGGGAGTGTGTTTATGATGTTGGTGCAAGACAGGAGAGTGCCGAAGGCCACTTCAGACATGCAGGCATAACGGTAGAGGAAATATGTGGGCATTAAATAAATAATTATATGTCTGTTCCACAGGGCTAGAGGTGTTGTTGATTATATATGTACATATAGACTTTCTTAGGCAAATACCAAAACAAGAAATAGACGAAAAGCTAACAGCAAGAACACATGAATGACTGACCAGTTTTATTCTAAAGGAGTAATTTTAATGGCTCTTGAAGCCTAATTAACCAATAATATGTTACGTCCCTACGGCCCAACATACGTCCAGCTCGGCTGCGTGTCACGTGGGCAGATCAAGTCCCCCAGATGTTGATCCACGGCGGAGCCATGGATCCAATATCCTCTCCACGATTCGCATTCTAGTCAATGGGAACACCATTATTGGATGAGCGGCCCAACACTCTATTAGTTTTCTAATCTCTATTTAAGAAAGGGGTTTGGAGTCACTGAGTATTTTATATAATGTCTTTTCGTTTTGAATGTGTTATGGAAACACTATAATCCGCCTGACTTGGCGGTGTGGAGTATCCGAACGACTGATTCAACCCCTGAATCCTTTAGCTAGTAGAACACCTCAATGAGAATATAGGGAACCGCTTAGTAGGCTCAGTTTGTTGAGATACTGTGATTCCTGGTGTTTCCACTGAATGACATCTACTTCCTAATTAGGCTAGTTGGCCTGTGTTGCACGCTTCAACTATGTGAAATCGGAACTGCCTACCTGGTTCCTGGCGCTCGCCGCACCAGTTCATCCTTCCAAGCGTCAACCGACCAACTTCATCTAGGAGAATCAACTACTGACTACTGAATGAAATCAATTTGTTCTTCCATTTGAGCTTTCGTGTTTTACAGCCTGTAGCTGATAGAATAGCTCCCTGCGCATCACTTCCCCTGAGTTCCACAACAGAATGCTCGCGAAAAGTTCTTCTTGATTCTAAGATTACGTAATATGTCACCACTGAGGTGTGAACGTGTCAGTCCAACCAGCTTGCTAATTAGTCAGTTCATGTGAAAGAGAGTAAACAACTGAAAGACGATCTTGTCCATGACTGTAACACATCAGGAAAAAAGTCATAGATATGGTACGGGTTATTCTCTAAACCAATCGTCGTCCAAAATTTCCCATGCTGACAGCCTAGTAGATGGGTCAAACCGTAGCAATCTCCCAATAATTTGCCCCAGCTTTAGTATGTCTTCCTTTGTCAAGTCTTTATTACGTTCACCATCAAAATACATTTCTTCCAACCATTCTTGCAATGCGGGCCCTGGGCTTTCTGCAGTAGCTCTATCATCCATTGACTTCCATAAAACTTCCCATCTTTTAGGTAGAGCATCACTTGCCATCTCTCGCATTTGACTGACAAGGATTGGAGGCGTTATCAAGAAGCTGTCGAAAGGTGGTTGGCCGACGAAAAGCTCAAAAAGCTGTACGCGTGTCAGTTGCTTCCCAATGTGGCCTAGCTTCTTGTAATTCTACATACCAAACAGCCCATGCTCCATAGATCAACACGGTAGTCCAAGCGATCTTTAAAAATAACTTCAGGTGCCCGAACTGGTAGCGGGGTGTGAAGAGTTTTAGGAAGAGTGGTATGTAAAAATGATTCCCCAAAGTCGACAATCTTGATGGGATAGGATGGCGACCATGGAAATCCCCGGTATAAGGCAGGCCTGACGATATACTCGGGTATGCCAGGTTCTAGGGCTTTTCCATCCTTCCTTCGTACATACCCAATTTCTGGTTTCCCTAGCATGTTAATAAATTCGCTCTCAGGTACATTGTCCATAGGAGGCACCGCAAAAGCCAAATTACGAGTGTGTAGATCTATAAGGTAACATTTAGCTTAAATTACTCTAAATATAAAGATATAAATTCAACCTACCTCCATGTCCAATCTTCTGCTGGTGCAAAGTGTCAAGTCCAAATAGAGCTTGTTTCGCAATAGCCTTGGCAAGCTTTCCGGGAAGCCTGCCGTCTGGAAAGCGCGCATCGATTATATCAGGTACGCTAGGCCCTAGAAGCTCGAACACGAGACATTTATGGGCTCCATTTGGGCCCTCTAAATTGAAGCTGTCCAGCATTTGCATAATATGTTGAGGTCTTGGTTGAACAGATTCCAGCTCCTTCATTACTTGGAGTTCTTGATTTCCACCATTATTTTCTTTCTCCGAGACACAGACTTTGACAGCAACATAGGCGTCTTGTCTGGAAGCGAATTAGTCTTATTTATATAGAACATGAAGTCATAAGATATAATTTGAACCACCTTTGATCTCTTGCAGCCCAAACGGTTGAGTAACCTCCCCACCCCAATTTATGCAGTATCTTGTATCTACCATGCTTCAAGAAACTTCCCAAGGTAATAGGGTGATAGCCACCTTTTCGATAGCGATGAAGAGGCTCGGCATCAATTGTCGAGGTATAGAGCTGATCCATCTGAGGCGGTGTGGAATAAGATGAGGTCAAGATAGATGTGATGGCCAGTCGAGGGGCAATCCTCGGTGCGACAGCCCGTCTTAGAATCATCCAGGGGAACACCTTTAAGGCATGGTATATCATGCTCTGTCTGTATGAATCTGGGCACAGTCCCCTAAACTAGGCTGACAATGATAGGATATATGTTACCGCAAGAGGTGGCGTGGCAGGAAAACATTGCAACAGGCGGTCCAATCACGTGCCTTCTGGACGCGCCCAAAACGCCACCTAGCGGGTGAACTATTGATTGGCACAGAGTCTACATCTCGTATAGACGCCCTCGAAAATAGAGCAGGCGCTTATGCATTCTTCAAGAGTTATCACAGTTATTGTTATTTTTTTAGCGAATCAGCGTATTTTTTTACTGATCAAAAATACCTCAATATAACATGTGCGGCGGCAAAGCAAATCTACAAAGTTATAATTAGTAACAACAAGTACATATAAACTGAGCTGCTCTCTAAGAGTAATTTTAGATCTAGAAAACTGGATTTCTTTTAACAGTCTAAGCACATCTATCCTGATAAATACGTGGAACTTCACATCAAGATGTCTCCTATTCCCCGGAACCTCGTCAAATTCACACAGAGAATCAAAAATCCTGTTTTGCGCAACCTCACTCTTAATCTAATTGAAGAGGCCTCTCAGAAGCCTGACATGGCCCATTTTACGATAGCCATACTTAAGTAAGTAGGAACAAGGCTTATGTGTGAGTTAGGTTCCACGAAACTTACCATGGCAGAAACCCATCGCACACGAGTCACACCGACCCCAGACCGCACACAACTGCCTTATTTGCAACTGAGGAACAGTTCAAGTCCAATAAGGCCCAGACAGCTCATATATACCATGATGAACAAGGACAATATGTTGGTCATACTCTTTACCAGGAAAGAGAGAACAAGTCGTCGGATGAGTGAAATACTTCTTGACATTAATGTAGAAGAATCTGATTTTCCTCGAATGATTTTTCCCCTCTAGAATCAGATTGGGTGCTCTTATGCTTGGGTTCCATTTGAATGTATCTTGCCAACTAAAATAGCTCGCAACAACAGCGTCTTGCAGAATCAGATTGACGTTCAGTACAATATGAAAAAATTTGCTTTAGCCAAATATAGTTTAAGAACTTCCCTAAGTAAAACTAATCGAATATAGGTTATGCTAATCTAATTCTGCAAAACCACTGTAGATAATCAAACGCCCACTACATAACTATGGTGGTGGCTTCGGCTGTCTGGAATGTAACATGTAATTATTTGTTATAGTGCAGCAGCAGCATCTTTTTTATTTAGCCTTAAAAGGATTCTTAAAAATTCTGTGAAGTCCTTCTGCCAATTTAAAGGCTTCATAAGGCACCTCTGGGATATGAATTTTGTTTTCTAGGAGCTTCTCCAGACAGCGAGTAATCAAAGCTGGTGTCGCTCATCTGCAATGCTGAAGCAAACCAGACGCTCTGCGTACCTGAATCCGGAAGCTTAAGAGATCTTCCAAGGGTCCTGGACGTGCGTGATAGAGACCTTCCTGGATTATCTCCTGTCTGCGCTGGCGTCTCCCCGCATTCTCATGAGGGCTAAGCCCGATGTAAGATGCTTGATAGAACTAGTTCAGGCATATCCGCTGACTACAATGCAAGATAGATGATAACTTTACCGACATGGCATTCATCACGATCATCAAAATCTGGAAAATCATTATGTGTTATCGAGCTGGGTTACTTCCCCGATTACGGAGAATGGCCTTAGGAGACAGAGAACATATGAATAATTTGGGGCTGGTTTTAACGTAGTAAATTATGGGCCAAGGAAAATTCTGTGATACATTCTTCGACCTGAATTGCTCCATCGTAAATTATTACACACCAAGTTAGTATAATTGCGTGATCACCGACCGGTCCCCTGAATGCTTAAATACCATATCCAAGGGTGGAAAATAGGCGCTGAATGGGTTTATTCGGAAACGTCATCAAATATTGCCTCAGCATTCACGAGACGGCACGCTTGCTTTAAGGGTGGACCATTCATGGATATCACGAATAAAACGAAGAGCAGTTCCCTTTTTAACTCCCTGTTCAATAAAAAAGCTGGGGTCGGGAGCCTCGTTGATTAGCTCGAGGTCCATGAGATTTTCCAGTGTTACTTGGCATGCTCTTCGGATATCAGCTTTGTACGCTTCTTCTGTAACCCGTGATTCCAGCCAGTTCGAATACTCCCTCACAGCTCCAGGCCCGGGGATTACCAGACGGTTATTGGTAGATGAAAGACTGGGCGGTGGTGCTGGTACCATGGAACCGCCCGCTGCCGTCTGTGCTGGCAGAACATTAATGCTGATTGGATGATACGGCATTTCTGTTGATGGCATGTTATTATTAGCTTTTTTCAAGTTTCTTCCCCCTTGGCTCTCCAGAATCAGGTCCCGACGGATATCGTCAGGGACGTCATCATGACCCTCTAGTTTGCCACCATCATCAACATAATCACTGAGCCGCGTTAGATATCGCGCAGTGAGCTTGTAATGCTTTTTGTCCTGGGGATTCTCCCAACACCAGTCAGACTTTAAAGGACATGCGCTGACCCTACATCGCATCTGCTCATATACAAGGTTCCAGCTTGATGGCCTTCCAGTCCTCTCTTCTTCCGCAGCAATATATGCGTCACGTTCAGCAAGCATTGTTTTTGTTTTTGACATGCGGCCTCTTTTCTCACCTCTTCTTGATGTTAACATATAACTGTCATCATCATCATCCTTTGTATAGCTAAAGACTATAGTAACTGTAAGTTTCTTTCCAATCCGAAGCAGGTTGCTCCATTTACGCAACTGATTCTCCACTGGTTTCCACTTGATATTCTTAGTGCTGCAAAATTGTTCAAGATCACTCTGTGTCTTGTCATTAACTGATACCGTGATGTCTGTGCTTTCGTATCGAACCCGCTGGTTACCCTTTTTTTTGGCTTGTATCATATCTTCAAGAGACGCTTTTAGAAACTCCTCCCAGTAATCACTGGGGGCTACAACCAAGTCTTTCTCAGTCGCACTACCTGCCCGTTTGTGATTGATTGTAAGTTTCCATTTGATTGTATAGCAAACGTATTGTGGTGGCTGTTGGTCGTATTCGCCTCCCTCTTCCCATTCATCCAATGGGAGAAACCCGAGTCGATCTGACGGCTGCTGCAAGGTACGATGCGGGGAAGGGCTAAGGGAGTATCCGGGTGAACCAAAGTATGGGGTGGGGGCATCCCATCGGTTGACCGTTCCGGGCTGCGAGGCATCATCATCATAAATAAAGCGGTTATCCGTCATTGTCCGAAAATTTATATATAGGATGCCTAGCATTAGTGGTGTACATCATTAGCCCTTAACCTACTGATGCCTAATAAGGCGTCCAGCAACACAAGGCTAAGCATAGTGACAAACAGGGGTGGAGATTATGAAACCATGCCCAGTACCGTAGAACCTTATTGATCCTGCTTGACACTAGATAGCCTCAGGTATGCTGCAACTAGGTGTAACCAACTGTGAGATGCAGGAGAAAAGCAACTTGTTGACAGATTGCCAAATTGGCGGACTGTTTGATAAGTTTGCTAAGTTTGCTAAGTTTGCATCGAATATTCGAGATAGGGAAGGCAAAATGTAATTTCAAAAATTGAAATTTCATGAAATCTGGCCTCCTGAAATGAAATCAAAATCTGTGAAATTGAAATTGAAATTAAGCTAATCCAAAATAGGCAATATTAAAGGTCATGTGCTTTGTTACCAGAAGCTCCGATCCTCTGCTGTTGAGTAGGTTGTTGATAATGGTCCGCCACCCCATGAGACCATTCAGACTGACGCTTTACTCCGCTACCAGTACCACTACTTATTTCAATACCATGGATTTCGCCCGTTCTGATAGAAGCTGAAGGCCTGGGACATGTTAAAAGGGGATTTGGTACAGATTTTGTCTCAGTATGGAATTCAGTCTTGAATTTAATGCAGAAACAAGTGCCGGGTTTGTTGCAGTTGAAGCTGAATTTAATGCAGAACTTAATACTGCAATAAGTGCTGGATTCGACGCTGGTTCTGGTGCTGGATTTGGTACTGGGTTCGGCACAGGGTCCGGTGGAATATCCTCCTCAGAGTCTGAAGTATCAAGCACCTCTAATAGATAGTCCTGCACCTGCTTACGCTGCAGTATTCTTTCTATCTCCTGATCTTCCTCCTCAAGAAGCATCTCTTGGGTAACGGTAGGTGGCGAGTCTGCACGAAATTGTCGTTTGTTAATCTGTATATAAAGTAGCTTCTCAACTCGGTGAGATTCAAGCCGATTCCGGATCTTTGTATGCTGCAGATTCATCTGTGAAAATGCTCTCTCAGCTGCAGCAGAATTAGCAACAGTATTACACAGACGGCGAGCAAAAAAGAGCAAGAGTAGGAGCAAATTCTGCCTAAATTAATATAGGTAAGTATCTTGCTTAATAGCATATAGCTTTAACTTACTGCCTCAAGCCAAAAGAGAGCTGGTGTTCTTGCTTCCCAACAAGAGGAATTATAAAAGCACCTGTTCTTTGCCGGAATGCCAGAAATTCATGCCATGCAGTAGATCTTCCATCTTCGCTTTGAAGTGGTCGTAAAGCACCTTCAATATGGCGTCGTGCGCTCTCATCAAGTTTGCCAGGAACTCTTGCTGGATCAAGATGATACGCTACCCAGTGAAGTGGCTCTAGTTGACGTAGCATTCGAGTCTGCCAACCAGTGCCATCTAGATAAGAATAAAAATCATCTTTAAAGGATGTCTGAGCAGCAAGCGTCCGCAGAGTCTCATGGAGGGTTAACCACCGCTGCGTTACCTCCATGATTGATGAATTTTGGGCCTCAGATTCCTTCTGAGCAATATGCAGAGGCTTAAGGATTTTTATTAACTCCTTTAGCTCCCACCAAAAGGCATGAGATTTAGTTGTTCTAATCACCTCTTTCCCTTTTATGGTAGAAGCAGCAGGAGTAATAAGAGCCCACTCACAAACTGCTTCCTGGCAATCATAAAGAGAAGTAAGCATGCCATATTGAGTACCCCATCGGGTAATAACTGCTGCAATTAAAGCCTTTCGATGGCCCCATTTCTCAATCTGCTTTGCTTGCAGCCTTGCATATTCAAGAGGAGATTGGTGAAAGAACACCACAACTTCAAGAGCTGATTTAAAACCCCTTTTACTTTAGGGATCTTAGAAGCATTAGGATCAAGAATATCCTTCATAATCAGCTGTAGACCATGAGAGTCACAGGGAATCATAAAGGCATGCTTAAGCTCTGGTTTCTCTGACAAAATTTTGCCATACTGCCTTCATAACACAGCAGGTATCCGTTGAAATGGAATTAATCCTCTTCCAGTCAACAACTTTATCAAGCTCCAAGAGAATATTATGGAGCCTTTCCAAAATCCATTCACTAATTGTAGCAGCATCAAGCGTCTTATCTTCCATGTCATGTAGATGAAGAAACCATGATTTTGTGGGTGTTGTAATAGTCATAGCAATAACCCGTTGAGAACGTATATTTGTTGTCTCATCTACAGAGATATTTAGAAACTGACTTCTCTGTAGCTCCTTCCGAACTTTCCCTTGTATCTCGATATATGATTCCTCCAGTAAGTCATCAGCGATTCGATGGCGGGATGGGATTTGGTATACGGGATTTAGAGCATGAATAAGATCTTGCATCTCTTGTTGCTCGAAAAGGCTAAAGGGCCTGCCTCCTGTAAAACACACCTGAGCTAGTAAGCGATCAATACTTCTACTTGGTTTAGAGGTAGGGAAGCTTAATGGTTTCTGTCTCTTTCCAGGAGTATTCTCGGGGTCCATAAGAGCCTGCGCGCTGCTACATTTCTTCACGTGCTCGCACTGGCGTGTAGTGTTTTTCGCTCGAACTTTGAAGCACCCAAGGCATTTTACTTGCGGGACCTAGCCAAAATTAATAAAGCGTACGTGTGGACGTGGGTGTACAGTCACCTTTGTGCTGCCCCTTACTACTTCAAAGCACTTCTGAAGCTCGATCTCGGTGTAATGGATCTTGTCAGGAGAATCTTCAGCCATGCTGATGTTGATAATATTACTAGTTTAAAATCCTCCCCGTCAATATATATATATTGGTAATGGTTGCTACCAGTGACACTAGGCATTTTAGATAAGATAAAGAATTGGGCAGAATCTGGGCTGGATAGGCTCTTATTGGCTGCAATACTCTCACCGCATATAATGACTAATCAAAATAAGCCCCTTGAAATGTAATTGAAATCGATAAAAAAGTTGAAATTTCAAGATTTCGTAATGAGCTCGCCGGTATTGTCATTACACCAACACTAATTCGAGACAGTTCTAATTTTGGAAATCTTGTATTTTCTATACTGGTAATTTATATTTTAATACAGTTACAAGTTTAGTACGGAACTGTTTCTTTACTAAAATACGGAATAGTGGGTCCTTTATCCCCATATGGGTTAGCGTCATCATGTGATTAGGGTTACAAAACAAATCTATATGTGTTGGAGAGGGAAGGAGATAACACATGCCACTGTAATTGTAAAGAGGAAAGGAAAAAGAAAAAATCATACTGTAAGGTAGAAAATAAAACGCTATTTCCGTCTATTTGCACTTTCCTTGATACATATCGGCCAACATCTAATGCAGGTCTAAGGAGGGAACCATGAGTAGAAGGATAGAAAGTCAGGTTTGGAGCTGCTGTAGCACATCGAGAAATCTGAGGTGGCGAAAATTCAAAGGCTCCTATGGGGATTGGATATCCGTAGACTTTTTTTTTATAATTCAACAGTAATGGCCGCAAAATAATACTGCAACTAGCGCAAGCGTATCCCTAGCTATAAATATTTTATTGTATAATTGTACTATCCTGTAGAGCTTCATTCTCCAACTACTCTCTTCGCTCCTTAGCTTTATTCGATACCCTTAAATAAGATGATCACACTATGTCCCAAGGATGCCACGTTCCTAGCATGGTGTAAATTAAGGATTCAACCCGATGCCCAACTTATTCTGTTTCATGCCCCAGTCTAAATTTCAGCAAGCCGCTGCCGAATTTGCGGGGCGCGTTTACTGAGCCCTTTTCTTTCACGGCAATTTTGCTGTTGCTGCACAGTCATATTTGTGTAAAATTGTTCGGTATGTCTCCATTTGCCATTCCAGCTTGGCAATGTCAGAACGACATTTTTGAAGTTCTTCTGACAACCATCTGTTCATTTGGAAGACGTAGTCCAATTCGGCCTCTAGGTCAGGACCCTCCTTGTGGACGTCCACTTCTAAGGTTGCTTGCTGTAGTCCTGGAATTCCGAGGTAAAATGAGGTGACCTCATGGAGCTCAACCAAACGTTCTCTGGACAGGAATAATAGAAGGCGTGATGTAGGTCGCTGCGGTTGCTGCATTGTCTCTGTTGATGAGTTTTCCAGAGTGATTGGATAGGCCAGTCTGATTGAGGGATAAAAATTATCGGTAAATACCGAGAGGGAGCATTTGTACGTAGGGCGAATGTACTGATATAGAGAATTTAAACTTAAATAATAATAGTCAGGTGGAAGTTGGAACAACACGCAATTTTCGACTATATTTCGTCCCACCTTGAAGACGCTGACCGGCTCCTACATGTCTATCTTTAGCTGCCTCGCCTGCGTATTACTTATAGATACATATATTTCAACAATGGGACCAGCGTGGGCGTTAGCGGGCTCCTATACATTGTCCCTATACACCAGGACTTTCCGGTATAGGGGATTAGCTGTCTAGTGCAGAGTAGAAGGAAAAACTGCAAATATGAAATGTGCTACACAGATGTAAACGTAAACTCTATTAGTTAAATAGCTAGACTCCGAGTATTCCAACATGAAGAATGAAATAAAAACTTGTATCAAATTCCTGGTTTGAAGTTTGATCATACATTTAGATTGTGATATGTATAACATATCGTGATTTACGTACAGTAGTTCTCCAAGACTGTGTCTTAGGAGCCAAGAATATGATGACTTTACGCGTGTGCAACGTTCAAAATCCAATCTAAACTCTCAAGTACGTAGAGGTCAATTCGGCAGGAAGTAGCTCCCCGTGTTTGACTGAATTTTTCTTCTTTTTCTTTTCCCTTTTCCTTTCAGGATCCTATTAAGCGGTTGGTTTTAGTTACCCTACAGTATGCAGCTTCTCCAGTTGCTCTTGAGTCTATGGCACTAATACGCTTAATCGGATTTTTCCTCATCAGAAAGTGCTGACAGCAGACATTTGTCAACCTCGGCTAGCGCAATATGAATTTTTGTCCAAAAGCATTTACAGCTTTGTGTTTCATAAATGCTTACGTAGTGAGGTTTCTACAAAAGCAATATCTCTCCACTATTTCAACCTAGGCTGGTTTAAAAATAGCCAAATGCCAAAAAAAGAAAAGAAAAGAAAAGAAAAGAAAAGAAAAAAGAGAGAGAGAGAGAGAGAGAGACCCGAGAGAGGATGATGGTAAGCTCGGACTGGATTCAGTCATCAAGCAGCGACACGCAATGTCTGAATGGAGAGGTCACCTAAGAAAACCATGCCAATACCCTAACGGACGAAAATATAGTGTCGAATATGAGTTCTCTGAGCTTAACTCAAAGACAGCCACATCGCTCCGGTCTTGGCCGCAAAATCGGGCAGTGCTGGTCTCAGCCTATCCGCCAGGAAGAAGTCAGAAAACTACACAGCCAAGGAATTTCCCGACCTCGAGCCGACCAGTTCTCTGTCTACAATAAGGACCCAGAGAGAAAGGTCCTGGCGTTTATTATCAAGTACAAGGCACCCAGTAAAGTTTCTCGCGCCCATATAAGTCTGGACTGCAAATACGGATCTTGATAAAGTACTCCGGCTACAAAAAGAGGAATCATCAGTAGGCATCCCAGACAACGTGTTCAGTGGTCGCCCGAACTTTTTTTTTACATGGTTCAAGGAGGTATGGAGAGTGGTTATGGGGGGTACTGGTGGAGCGTCTGTATTTGTCCGTGAGCTTCATGACGACTCTTCCATCGTATATTACTACTTGTCAGTGCCAGAAGAGGATGTTGGACAAACAACAGAATGGACGGGCGATCTGGACTGTGATAACAGGCTGCATTTGACTGCGCTAGGTCAGGTACTGTATTGGCTTCACTCTTCCTGCTTTACGAGTGCCGACGCAGGACATGGCTTGATCAAACTCCACTGTACGCAAACTCAAGTCCTGGGAGATGGTATACGACAACCCTCTGGACGAATACTGCCGTGCATCCCCAGTGAAGACTAGGTCAAAATCTGATATTATTGCGTCCTGTAATTTTTCGCAAGACCTTATGTCATCTGGTCATGATGATGACTCTGAGGATTGCTTTGATCCTGACACGCCTAGTCGACGACCCCTGGAGCACCGCCTTGCTCGCCGATCGGCTTCCTCGTCCTTAGCGGCAGTGCGAGGTTCTCGCTCTAAGGGCAAATCACGGCAGTATTGCACATAACAGTGCCTCCTGGGGCTGACCAAGGAAGGGGAATTGGATCAGAAATGTCCCAATGTGTCGGTCTATGGGGTTGATCGACACAGACTGAATCAGGTAACCCTTGTTCGTCGGCTGGATTGGGAGCTCTCCAGCGATAATCTGCAGCCTAATTCGCAGTTAGGGTGTTGAATCGCTGCACATGCACGGGAGTCGTGTGACGCTTTTTAAAATCACGCTGTGGTCGCACGGGATATACCTTTGTAGGAAAAAGTGTACCGAGCGAGTTTGTGGAGGGCTCGAAGCACGAGCCCGTGTTTTCACATCTCACTCTAATCTAAGGCGCCTCCTTGCCAGTGCTACTTGACAGC